TATTCTTTTATTTCCATGGCACCATCATTAACCATCATTACTCCCGCTTGGTACTCTGTCTTAACAAAGCTCCCGTGTCATTCCACTTCACTCATCATGCCAAACATCCCTATGTTCAAGGACCATGGGCCCAAGCGCCAGGCTCATTGTTACATCAGTCGCAAAAAAACATATGCACGTCATTGGGACAACCAACGAGAATAAATTGTGAAGAGTAGGTTAATTTGCTCTTGCCAGCAGTACCTTTGGCATGGGTTATACACCATATTATATAAAAATTCATGTAAAATGAGATATATATAATTTATATGCATCAGAATACTTAGCATTTTCAATTGCAATAAATTGAACTCAACTGAATTTAACAAACTGTATGTGCTGGGTAGAAGTATAAATTAGAGCAAGTATATAAACTTCATAAAACACTGAGTTAACCTTCTCGTTTTTTCTTTTTATCTTAAATATTAATTGTGCTCCCTCTTCACTTTATTTTTATTATCAGGCCAATGGCGAACCAGTCACTCCCAGCTTAGTAGAATATCAATCTCCTTTTTCCCTGCGCCATAAAGTATGGCGAGCTTGTAAGAGAACTGGCTGCCTTGAGATACCAGGCAATGGAGACGGTCGGACAATTCGTTACGGGAGTCGACAGACACCGAGGAAGAATGAATCAAACACGTGACCCAAAAAACTGCCGTGAGTTGATACCTATATAATATGAGCACCTGGATTGTTAAAATTTTAAGAGTTTGAGTACAAATCAGTGACTTTATGCTCTGACCCGTGAGTATAATATATTTATGCAATATTTCATATCCTATATTTAAAAGAGATTTTATTATTATATAATTAAATCCACGTTTTATAGTATATATTATTGTTTCTTAGATTAAAAGTAGTATTTATTTTATTGATTTCATCCCCCCATACCCCCCCCCATCCACACCCATCGTACCCCTATGCATATCGATTACACCCTAAGAGATACTATAGCGTCTCACAAAACTACTTAAGGTCAAAAAATATACAAAATCCTGCGTGATTAGTACGTTATACAATATATTCCACACTTAAAACAGAATAAAAACCTTATGTTCTTTACCATTTTGCAAGACCAAAGTGGAGTCAGCTTAAAACATGTGATATTTTATTAATCACCTATCCTATTGACTATGCGACACTTTATTTATGAGTCAGATGTTATATGCATCTGATATTTAATGAGAGAACTATGTATTCTAGTGGTGTCACCCCATCGTATCATGGATGTAATGATCCTCTAATGTATCAGTCTGCAACATATAAACTTTCTCTATCACAAGAGTTCCACCCACCATTTTGATACAACGCAGTTCCCAGCCTGGACTCTTCTATTCCAACCTATAAGCCCGTTTATGTGAGGCTTTCCTGAATTGCAGATCTCAATATATTAGTATAATACCAGATGCTATTTCCTGTCAGCCTCTCTCTCGCTACCCAAACAGTGATATTACTTCTTCCACATATATCTCTTACGTTTGCAGTATCCACTCTCCCTTCAAGCGCTGACTTCTCGTCCTCCCTCTCTACTCTCCTCATTATCACACACCCAATACATACTACACGTCTCCATCTTCTCTCGCTCGATCAACTCACTTCTGCTCTCATCGCGTGCTCCTCTCTCCTTTACTCCACAATGACTATGCTCATAATGATATCATTTCTGTCTTCTATCTAAGATTATATGCGTCTGGTCTTGCCTCGTATAAATATCCCTATATCTGACACAGTCTTATACCTCTCATGTCGAGTATCACCTGATTTAAGCTCATGCGATAGTTCTTCATCTACTCACTCATGATGCTATATTCATTTGTTGTTTCTGCAGTCAGGATGCTAACCCTCTTCACTTCGTATACGATCAATTTGTTCACCCTTAATTGAAATTAGATCGACTTTATATCACAGACACTCTATGTGGTGCTACTATTTATGTCTGGTATGAGTGTAATCTACAAAAATCTGTATTATCATTATATATCCTACAACCATACACACAAAGTGTCAAAATCAGAATATATCGATTCAGACCTGTACAAGTGACATCATTGAAATCCTCAAAGTTAAAAACCACATCACCCCAAAAGTACTTTAGCAACAAATGCGACAACCTGGTATCATAGTTAGAAACCTCGTTTTTATCCTTGTATTCAACTTATCGAACAAGAATCTAAATTCACACACCTGTGTGCATAAGACACACGCCTTTTTACCACACTAGATATGACTACACCATCCAGTATGGTACGCACATCAGACTATGCACCTCTATGCTTAACAATTCTATACACAAGGAAAAGACCTCAGCTGCTCTTACGTATTGAAGAGTTAGTAAATAACTTTTATCAATAATTAAAAATCCAAATCGCTCTCCTCTCTCTCCCTTTCTTTTCACTCTCTCTATCCTTATATCAGTAACCTGTGCGCGTCTACTGCCCAAGTTCATGCTAACACTGCTTCTGAGTTAGTTGTTGCCGTCCATTATTTTCTCTCTCGTGCACCTTACGTATTCACATCAGGAGTCTCTTGATAATAATTTTACCTCCTCCTACTCTATGTACTTTATGATGCCTATATCTCCTCTCTCCCTCCATCCGCCCATTCAATACACCTACAACCAATAGCGACACGAACGAGCACGAGAAAAGGCAACATACATCCTAGACCTTTCTCCACACTACCCGCATTTGACGAGATTTAATTCGACACCACCCCGCCAGTTCCCCCCATTTTGCTAGGCCTCAAAAAATAAACCACCACACACCCCTGGTGCATAAATTCATCTATTACTATCCCTCAGAGTGCTAGAACCCTCTCTATCCTAAGCCTTCCCCACGAGAGAGATCCCAGTCTGACTGTCAAACTATAGCAATCTCCTTTTCATACTTCCCACATTTGTCATAAGATTATGTTTTTCATTTCTCAATTAGGAAATTGGCCATATCACCACTGAATTCTGTTGTCTCATGATAATAATCTTCTGGTATTGTATCGCATCTTCTATCAATAGATTGAATCGAGTGTAGTGTCACCTTCCATAGTGTACCAAATATTTATATCTCATACCAAACTTAACGTCTCTTGTATCCAAGCTTCACCCATCTCACGCGCGTGCTCGTTCCGGAACCTCTGAGGCGTCTATTATACTCCCACTGATGGACAAGATTATAATTATTCCGCTCTTGTCTATCGAGCGGAATTGCTCTCTATGAGGATGGTGGCACAGATGATAGAAGAATATTAGATGTATATATCCATATGTGTGCACCACATATGACCCCACACCCACATATGTGTTCTATCTTGTATAAAAATGTGCGGCATCTAATTAATAGTAAAATAATCTAGGTCGTGACGAAAAACACTGCGAGATATAAGTCATACAACCGAGTTTTTATAATATTAACCTGAGTACGCGTCTCCAACCCGGAGCACAAAAACAGAGCTTAAGAAGTTTCGAAGCCCTTAATTCTCGTTTCCCGTATTTATGAAGTGTGTTGTTGTTAATGAAGAACAACACCTAAATACAGCACTATTGTACAAGATGAAATACAGAAGTTATTCTTCAAACTAAGCTGAGCGATTAACTGAAGTCTAAGTGAGATCTTAAATTTACTTAGAATGCTTGATTTAGCCTGAATGATTGAAAAGAGATTAGTTACAATATACTAATATATTCTAGTGAGATATAAACAGTGTATACCTTATCTCGTTGTGAGTCATTTCTGGAGCTTCTAGAGGTAGAGAAATGCTTAAACTAGGCAACAATCAATATATATGCGTCTTGAATATTGATGAACCCTATATCCTACCTCCTTATATATCAGATCCATATCATACTTACTCTATGACTGATTCGCAGGCGTAGCTTGCATGCTTGTTGTCCACTATGAACAATAATATGAGGCCTTCATAATTTACATTATCCTTGCATTTCTTTGTCTGAATATGTAAATTCATTTTAATACACTAAATTCGATATTATGGAAGTCTTATAGTTTCCACTTGTCATCTCTTTTTAAACGCTGGAATGCATTTACTTATATATATTCAATTATATTTACTACACTTTCGATGAGTGCCTATTGTCTGTCATAAAAATCACAAAAAGCAATTGTTTATATCTCACCTTATATAGTCACACGATACAGAGAACACATCAATATAGTTACTATATTCCTATAGATTTAGCAGTATTGACAACACAATGAGATGAGTGATCTTGTTTATCAACGTGTTCTGTATCCATATCAGTTATATGCTATAGAGTAGATAAATTTCTATGATATGTCTTAAAGTCATATCATTGATTGTATAGTAAAGCTTGAAGCACTCTAAGCGGCACGATGTGGCGCCCGTATTTCTGGAGGCAATCCAGAAAAGTCGAGGGGGTAGATTTGGCCACAGCACTTATCAAAAACTCATTTCTCACTTGATCTAAAAAATTGGAGAACCAACCCGGTGAAATGAAACACCAATTTTATCACTCGATGTGTGTGCCAAAATACAATGTCTGGCTAAACATCACGAATCCCCCGCTGACGGAACAGCAAATAACCTTTTGAAGTACGAAGTTTTACCGACCCACACAAATAAGTTCACCTTCCTCTCTCCTTCTATCGTACTATAAGTCTAATATTCTATCTAAATAGCCCACCCATAACATACTTCCTGCGGTAATTATTGTTATTTCAAGTGCAACTTTCTCAATCCATTTTCCTTTAGTTTACATGTCTGATTTTATATAAGAACCCTATAGGTTTAGATCCCTATATATGTCTGATACTCCCTTTCCCTCATCCCCTCTCTCTCTCTGTTCTAACACAATGATATTGACGGGCGATCTCCGTGACGTTTGAGAGAGAGACCAGATGAAATCGGGCGAGCATCACTTAGCAGTGTAAGAAAAAAAAAAACTAGGAATATGGTTATAGGCAGAACCGCTGCTGCTTGACCGAGTGTGAGCTTGTCAGATACGGTTTATAGCAAGCGTAACGTAAAGCGTCTTGTCGCGCAGATAAGGTTTTATTAGCCAGGTAAGTAAAGGTCTTTTATAGAGTTCCTTTTGCTCTAAAGTGTACTTAAGTTCTTCATGGATTTGCTGTTGAAAAAGATATGAAATGCTTCCTGCTCCTTGATTTTTTTTGGTCAGTATAAACCATTCACTTCTTAGAACTGCATTACCTCTACCCTGCCTCACCCTCAGCTATTGTTAGGGTTCAGATTTTGGTCTTTGATATTTCAAGGGAAGATATAACACGCCAGAAAGTTTATATTTAATTAGTCAAATATCTCCTGCATAGTGAAGTTACTGCTTGTGTATGCATGAAAATTGTTAGAGTGTGTGAAAAGATTCAATGAGGAAATATAACACATATATAGCAACAAAACTTCAAGTTTTAGATATTAATTATAGAAAGATCATATGGAAATAGAACAAAGTAAGAATGATCTCACCCACATGAAAGTGAGAATGTGTATGAAAAGCTCAGTCATAACCAAATGGTAGGGTGGATGAGATGTGGTAGTGGGTATAGCTAGAGCAAATGTGCTATATAAGATGCTCAAAGAATTGTAACATATTGTACACTACACAAGGAGAGCAAGAAACCAGGCCTTATGTCTGGGGTTTGGAGGGAGAGGGAGTTCAGTGGGATGGAATGGTTGATAAAATATGGCAGACAGATATGTTGGTTTACATTTACGGCATATTCACATTAAGAAGAGGTCTATCTGGCAGCTCAAAGGGTATATACACATTTATACTAATGCAAGCCGTAACACTTGCACTCTTCATGGTATACCTTTATGTAACATTACATTAAAAAAAATGGACATAGTCTATGGTTTGGTGACCAGTAACTTGTGGCAGTTATTTGTTATAGATTGTCTAATGTTATGTACAGGAAAATTGTTTATATCTAATTGTAACTTATGCAAAGAGAAAAGGATATGCAGTTACATTAGGCCATATGAACTTTGTTAATGAAGGTCATTACTCTTCTTATTAGATAGGTTATCCATCAGCCTTTATTTTATATGGAGATTTTAAAGGTTATCCATCAGCCTTTATTTAATATGGAGATATAAAAGGTTTTCCATCAGCCTTTGTTTTATGTGGAGAATTAAGATAAAATATCTGAAAAGACTTGCAGGATAGCATGTCTTCATAGTGAATAAGGAATGTGCAAAGTTTTACATTGTTTATCTTTCCCTGTTGTAGCTATTCTGTTTATATTGGACTAGATTTTAATGATGTCTTATCTTTTTCCAGATTGACAAAGATGAAATAACCAGTTTAATAGAAGATCACCTAACACGGGTGCGAAATGGTCTTTCTGTATCAATGGCTTCAGGCCGAAATGGTGTGGGAGGCAGTGTTACAGGTCAAGACACTCTGCGTGTAATGCATCCCCCTACGATCACAACAGCAACTAGATAACACCCATGATTCTCCCACACTCAGGCACAGCCCGTGTACCACACACTGTGAACTTAATGAAAAGATTTTGTTTATTAAAGTCTTAATTCTGCAATAGAATTGTTAGATATTTTTTTATTATTATCAGTTATTAATGATGATAATGGTAATAATGATATTCATTACTATTATTATTATCGTTATTGTTATTTTTGTTATCATTTCTTTTCCTTTTTATTAGGTGCATTTAGGGGTAGTGAAAAAAGAGACCAAACACAACTTTATTGTTTTTTGTGCAGTACACTAAGTTGAAAATGTGAATATTTATATATATATATATCTGAGTTTGTTGTTTGGTCGTGAAAGCATTTGGGAGATGTCAGGTGCACACGGGAGTTTGTCATGTTATATGGAATATGTCGTAGAGAATGATACTTTGACATGTTAACATGAGCTCCCAGGTATTGTGATAAGAGAAGACTATGAGGGCTCATTTGTGCTTAATGGGTCGAAGGTTCTTCCTTCCTCGCTCTCCCCTCGTCTTATTCAGTGCCCGAGCTGATATCCAGCGAGGTAACAGAGAGGCTCGTAGTGTAGTCTGTCTGTCCTAGGCAAGGATGGCTGGATGAGGAGACGGCTGTATTGTGTACTCTTTAGATACTTTTTTTAGGGGGGAGTTGATTGTAATGACACCATGTTTAAGATTTTTTTTTTTTCTTCCTATATTGTTGTTCTTTGAGAATATTGTACGAGAACCAGCAGTGATTGATTAATTTTGAGTATATGGATCCCTAAGAAGTTTATTTGTTTTGCTCCTGACTTATGAAGCATTCATTGTGATTAGTATTGTCCACCGTATTTTTTTATATTGGAAAGGTATTTTATGGTGAATCGTATATTTTTCATGAAAAGGACATATCAATGAAGCAAAAGGATCAATGGAAAGCTTGGTAAATAATGCTGATCTGTCTCGTCCTTACATGTAGTACATTTATACTTTTGAAGTATGTGCGGCAGTATTGTAGTGTCTCATTCAAATGTGCCTGGGGAAAACTATTGCAAGGATCTGAAAATCCTTTCTTGTGTTGTTTTTGTTTCTGTTTTATTTTACAGTTATCTTTATTATATTATTATTATTATTATTAATATTTTTTTATAAGAATGTAATGAATAGGTGTTTCATTTTTACCCAGATACAACCTACATGCTCTTTGTAATTTGCAGTTTTTTGGGAACCAATGGAGGTAGGGCTCCTCTTTAGGCTCTTGAGCAACATCATCGTGTTTGGCAAATCATCCAAGGCATTAATGCTTCATTGCTTTGACTTTCAGTTTGTAAGCTGCATTGCATAGATATTCTGTCCCAATTTCAGGACACTTGGAAGACTGGTGAGAGAAAAAAGATTAATTGAGTAATACGGTGTTTGGAGAAAGGCATTGATTAAAGTGTGTTTTAGATAGTAGTGTCTTTAAAATCATATTTGTTTTAAATTACTTAAAGTCTGGCATCTTGTAAACTTTCACTGATAATACAATACCAAGTTTTTGCCTTACAGAATTGAAATTGTGCTTTGGAGTATTTGTGAATAAGACATTTCATTGGGTAATTTCATGTGCTTATGGTAAGACCAGCTATATAATAGTCTTATACACAAAGAATAGTTCTTTTTTTCTTTACACTTGTTCCCTGCAGATTATGCATGGTACATAGTTTTGTACACTTATTACTATGCATGGTACATCAGTATTATCATGTTTAGCTGCAGAGCTTATCGGTCAGTTGCTTCTGATCTAACACGACAACTTGTTATCCTTTGTGTTAATGTGACATACCTTACCATACTCTGTTTTATAGACTATATCTGTTTGAGGGGGATCCTAAGCCTGTTCAGTTACAGTTCTTATAGAATGAAATGTATAGAATGACATGGAGTAATTTCTTGGTCACTTGAATATTAGTTGATATTAACAACATGTGGTTTACTTCTGTTACTGTGTGTGCACCTTCTGTGTCCATACTTTTTTGTAATGTTAAGGTTATCTTGATTTGTAAATATTGGCATGATAAGTTCTAGGTTGGAGCTTGTTAAGACACTTTTCTACTAGAAGGTTTAGGTGTTATGTCCAAAACTGAACACCTGCTTGTAAGTCTTTGCTTATGGGCTAGTGATTGTCTAGTTGAGCAAGAAATAATGTTTTGTATAATATCAAAAATTTGGTTATTGGTTGATAACATTGAGTGATACCTGTTTCAGTTGCTCTTCATTTTTTTTATAAAGTTAAGTGAAGACTGCATCATTTGAAACAGACTTGATCTTGTGCTATGTAGCACCTATTATAAGTATACCATCATTGTCAAAAGGAATCTTTGAAAAGTGTCTTTTCTTGTAGGGTTTCTAAAAAGGAATAGAAGGGAAGGACTTGTGATTGTCATTTATCATGTGAATTTCTTATGGATTTTTTTTCTTGGTCTTAATTTGACGCTGCTTATCACATGATCTGGTAAGCTGGCTACAATTAAGGACACTGGGAAAATAAATTCATATGTGAAGTAACATATGATGCAAAAGCATGCACCAGGAGAATAAGCAAAGGTATTCAGCCACCTACCAAGGCTGTCAGTACCTAATCTAGTCTAGTGGCACACACCCCAGAAGAAACCCAAAAGGATGATAGCTGCGGTGCTACAAATGGCCTGTTTGTTTCATGTTGCATGAAAGGAAAAACACCAGAAGTTGTACTTTTGTAGTGTTTTACAAGAGCCACCAGTTCTTAGTTGGTTGTCTGTGACAGCGGTAATTTGTAAATGTTCCAAGTAATTTGTTCATAGTATGCAAAACAGAGAGAGGTTGTTAAATTGGAATACAGGGAATGAGATGTTGGTTCTGAAAGATACTTGGAAACCACAGAGGAAGGTTTGCTGAAGTGATCCTATGTATCCTGAAGTTCACCTCGGACAGTTACTTGGTCATTATTTGTATTGGTGAATGGCTGACGGCATGTATGGTTGTGTGTAAGGTTTGTGTGGTTGTATATATACACTATATATACATAATGTATATATATTGTATATGTATTGGGAGGGGGGTTATCTTTTGATTACTTGCTCAAATGATGGATACATGTCACTACACTATAACCTCAATGTTTCATATATAGTTTTTACTCTGTTGTGCCTTTTAATGAGGAACACTTTTTATTTTTAAATGATTATTGGTATCCAAAAGATTTTATTTTGACTGCTAAAATGTCATTATGAGTGTCTGTAGGTAACTTTTCAACCAAAGATTTGTGTCTAAAGTTGTTACTCAATATAAATCACCCACATGAGTTTACAGTAGTGAACTATTTTGGGTGTTATTTGATACTCCTTTTTTATTAAAGAAATCTTTAGGGGGTGAATGATAATTAAATGTAGAGAGATATTGCACAACATTTCATGGATAGAAATTTTTTGAGAGTTCTAGGTGTACCTTTTGCTGATGCACCTTGGAGAGCTTGTTATAATCAGTTAGCTATATGGCATTGTAACATTCTGTAAAAAAAAAAATATGATATATACCTTGCTTGGTTAACTCAAGGGTACTATAATGAGGTTGGTGTAAAGCATTTGTTTCCTCTTCTCTCTCCAACAATTACTACATTGCAGTTCAGTTAGAGAATGTGCAGTCTTCTTGTACAGTTACCTAATGGTTTAGCACAGGATGTATTGGAATCATCAAGGTGTTTGTAACCAGAAAAGAGGTTTTGTATCTATATAATCTGACAATGAACACTTGTGTATTGGGTCAGAACTTGATGATCATTGTGTAACACTCCATTAGGAATGGTATGTAATGATTTATTATTCTGCAAAATTATTTTGTTCATTGACATCCAATAACAAATGAATATTTTTCAGCACA